AGCTGATTGAGTGAAAACCTAGGTCGACGGTATAACAGTTTGACCGTGGATTTTTACGATGTCCACCACCTGGCGGTATTTGCGTAGCCTCGCGTGGTAACCTTAAAGGATTAAACAGATCATTCTTTTGCTGTGTTGAGACATTGCGAGTCTCGTCGCCTCCGTGTTCAGCGGAGATTTGTACCTAACACTCTTCGGCAATACGTTATTGTCAAGACACCTGTGCAGAAACCGGATCCGCGAATAGGTTGAGACCTCACGAATGGTAAATGTTTCCCATCGTCGGGCCTATCGGAGCGCATCGCGCCCAAATAAATTGCCAATACAAGCGAACATGCGAGTCCCAGGAATTAATTGAGAAGAGGATGATTTGATCGCTGGGACGACACTTTCATTCGCCTGACGTTTAAATATGCGTCGCAGATTCATCCACAGAGACATAAGCAGAAAGCAATAGCAGCGAGGTCAGGCAAATAAAAGTGTTGTCCCAGCGATCGAATCGTCCTCTTCTCGATGTTCATCACTTTTACCGGAGCCGCCCCATCTGGCTCAGATCCTACGACATAAAAGTGCCACATAGGCCACATTAAGAAGGTGCCACTTCAGCCTAACTCGCAATCCGCCAGTGCAACACTAAGCAAACGCACATTGGGTTGACCGCGCAGTCTGAGTTATCTCCCCGTTGGGTGGCAACATTTCGAGCCACGATGTTTCAGCGCACCGTGACAGCTTCAAGCGCCTCAGTGAGAAAAGTGCACTGCGCTATCGACTTCAATCCCTTTCCAGGCCCCAACCACCGTCGTCTATGCGTCCACCACCGCTTCTTCCCCCAGCACTGGCGACCCACGTCTACTCATCGAGATTGCACGTCTAGGGTGTACCACACACAGACACAGTACGACAGTAATTACGCAGCTTATGCGCAGTTAACGCAGTCACAAGCCAGTAGTCTGGTCGCCGTTCTGGTCCAGCGCACTGGCAATGCTGTCCACTGGGAGGGCACGTGATGCAATGTGACACACGATGGTGACAGGGAGTCCAACGTAGTAGGAACGCCACAAAGACAGAGAAGAAAAAACCATAAATCAGGCTTGACAGAGAAATTATACTGCATAAATCCGAGATTGGGCTACTTACTGGCTCCGAAGACAGGTAGGCGCCATGGCCAGGAATTTAATCAAATTGTTATGGGTAGATTAATGTGCTCGTAACTGCGAACAATAGGAGAAAAAATAAATTATTCAGCCCTCAGGACCTGCCCTATCTGTTTAGTTGCGAGTTTTTGACTGTGGCGTTGCGAGAGAAAACTGACCCAAAACCATACTTCGTCTCTCAGGCTCTCGTCCAAAAACAGTTCTGAAACATTATTCACGCAAGAACTTGAGTAGATTGCAGATTGTAGCTGATGTGACATGAGCGTGTGACTTAAACGATAGAGCGCTAAGTTCAATGGACAACTGAAACCAGTTCAAAGTTCAGGTCTACTAGACTCGGGATTAGGTTCAAGTCTCACAGGTTAGTTCCGGAACTAATTGCCAATTATACACGTCTCATATCCTTCTGGAAATTTGCTTGTTATTTGCTAAGATAGTTTTCCCAAAACGGACACTTCTAGGATAGTAAACTGAAACCAAACGCCGGCAAAAGTTAGGTTGGTCACTCACCTTTGATATTCCCTACTCCCCGAATTCTGTTTAGTGGTATTAATTTAGATTTTAGTTTATTTTATAGTTTATTAGTTCAGTTTTAGTTGAGTCAGTTTAGTTTAGCTTAGCTATCTAAGAATATTTTTCTTACGTTGGTGTTACGTAAATAAACTAAACTAAACTAAAAACTAAACCAAATCTAAAATTAAACAAAATAATAAACTAAAAATTAAATTACAACTAAGAATACTAAAAGTAATCACAGGACTAGGAGCTAGGGGTATGTAAAGAGGGCGACCAACTTAACTTTTACCCAAACGCTGATAAAAAAAAACAGAAAGCTGCAGTTGTAGCTCATTTAAAGAATTACTACCAGTAACCAGAAGACGAACAAATAAAGTGAATATAATACCTTTGAATATTTGAATGTGCTAACGTAATGTCTTATTTGTGACTCAGTTTAACGTCCTACAGCTACTAATATGGACAGCTGCGTAAGAGTAAGATTTTTTTGCATGGTTTCAAGCTGCTCATGACGCCAGAAAACACAGATGGCTAAGGAGACTAATGATTGGAATGCATGCCAGTGAGATTTCATCTTCAAATAATTGGATTTTCAGAATGCTGAAGATCACCAATGTGACGACACCCTTTCCTGAAAAGGGCACTGAGGGCTAAAGTTCGAGACAGTTTGCGGAAATGCAAACATCTATGGCACCGGAGGGGAACTTACCGTCCTTGATAGAGGGCAGGAAACGAATAGGCAGCGCGAACCATGAATTAGGCACCAGGGCCTCAAAGCGTGCGTACACGGGTTTGTGATCCGAGAGGAGATACTGCGGTAGGCAATCATAGACCAACAGCCGCAGGTCTGGATGCTCGGCCAACAAACTCTGATTGAGGGCGGTCGGATCCTGTTCTGTTGGGCCGCCACGAACGGGATGCTTGCGCTTCTTCTGTGGCGCCCTACGACCCATGGAATCCAGTTGAACGTTGTGATCGAGGGCAAAATCGTTGTGTGCCATGTAGAGGATACGATCAGTGTAGGAGGGAACTCGATTCTTCTTACTGAAAGGTCGGAAAAGAGGGTTCATAAGTTTATCGTAACTAGAGACATAACAGTGGGAAATAAAAAATCCAGCTACACTTCTAATCGTTTGGGAAAGGTTAAAAGAAATATGTTGATGATATCAGTAACTTAAACTTTGGGAAGAAGCCTAAAAGACTGTCTGAAGAGGTACATAAAACGGCAATAAAAATTGTCAGCTCTGTTGCGTAAACAGGTTGGACCCCTTGATTTGACAAGTAGACTTACTACTATCAGTATTACTTGATTAGTCGTGGGGGTGCGAATGCCTTTAGAAGCAAATCAAAACGGAACGCAGTTGGCATGCAGTATAAAGGGATGATGTCATTAAATATGATTAAAGAAGCGGACGTGAGCGGATTTTCATATTGAGCCACCATTTTTCCTCTATCCATTCGCATGTAAATTTTCTCATATATACGTCGGTTGGCCTACCTCACCCATTATAAACCGCTTTTATCCCTCTTTGTTTATCTAAACTACATGAGGTCATCAGTATATGACGCTAGCGCCGTTTTGAAGGCAGTCCAATTTGGCCTATGGCTGACGAATTTTCCAAGGACCTTTATCCACGACATCTACAATTTCAGCCACTGACGAGTATGGATTGCTTTTGATTTCTCGGAGTTGTGAGTTTGTGCGTCTAATTTTATTCCTTGTGAATGCAGGAAGTTTTTGCTGAAAATTTCGGAACGGTAGTTTCAAAATAACGCGTATCTCTTTATCTTTACGGAATCGATCCTTGCTTTCTTCATTCAAAACAAGGCTCCAAATGGAAGTCGACGTCAAACAACAGAAGCAACACTCGAGAAAGGATCACAACCCCTTCAAAATCTAAAGCTCTTTTCGACGTACAGAAGTCAACATCATGATAACGAAAAAGTTAAGTCACAAGACCTGAAGGCTGCCAGTTCAAATTTCACGAACGGCGATGCGCACCACGTGTCGCACATGCAGTGGGTGCGGGACTGCGACTTGCGCTGTATCTAACGCATTCTCACCCACCTGGGCGGGTTTGGAAGCAGTAACAGCCAAGGCCAAACAGCTCACGTACGCCGGCCACATGCAAAAGTCCTAACATGTAGGTGGCACAAGTTTTGATGGCAGTGGGATAGTGTTGGGTGCATGCAGCAGGCAGCCGCACTCAC